AATATATTGTATGAACTTGATGCAATAAAAAAAGACTTGAAAACACGCGAGAAGAGAAGTGTGATGCTTATTTTCTTTTTTTTTATATAATTTTTCTTATAAAAGATATAATGATGTAAGTTGCATTAGACATATTAGAGTATTAAAACATTTTATATACAGAAGTGTTTGTTATTTACACTTCTTCTAATAGCTATTATAATTTTACTGATTTTATCTTTTACTTCAACAAAGTGTAAACATATATTAAACATTTAAATCACTCATGTTCCACTTATATTAACTATGCATATATAAACATTTTTTATTACAGATATTTATTTATAAACATGTTTTAGATTTCTAATTAGTTGTAATATACAGACAATGCTGTGTTCAGGCCACCAATAATATTTAAGTATAAAAAACTGAGTTTTGCTATATTAACTACGCGTAACTGCGTCGCATTTTCATCGTTGTAGAACACATGGAATTGTATTGCTAGTAAATAACTTAATTTTGTACGGTAATAATCACAACATATTTGTAAAGAATTGAAATTATTAAGAAAATCCGAAAAGAAAGCGAAATTGTTATAATTATTGCATATTGTTAAAAAATTTTCTTAATCATGTTTTTCTAATATTTCTACATCTGATATGATTAGACTGGCTCTTTTTTTCTTCTATTCTATTTATTAATGTCTTTCATTGAATAGATTAGAAATTGAAAATTTATATTCAAAGAGTTTTACTCATAAGGTTTTGATTCGAACGTGATAGCTCTCTAATGAACTGCACAATTATGACGAAATATTCTGTTTTCATGAAAATGCATCGACTAAACTCGAGTTCAATTTCAAATTGAAGTATTTTATTTAGACTTTTGTGAATACTTAACTGGAAATGATGTGGAAGAGTATATTCATTTTAAAATATTAGAAATATTCTTCTGAATTATCTGTCTCATTTATAACGGGTATCCGAAAAGATTTGCACATTTTTGTTTTATATATATTTTACTTAAAACTCAATAGTTTTAACTTAATTTTGTTTTTAAAATCTGTATCTTCAAAAATTCTACCACTATATTCCAACGATTTTTCCTCTAATCGAAAGGAAATATCTCGAAAAAGTGTTACCTCTCAGCATATTCACAGAAAATAAATGTCTGAAAATGTTTTTTTATTTTATCTATATATTTCAGCATGTATAGTTTATTCGATTGTACGAAAGGTGATATGAAAAAATTCAAATGAATTATTATGTTTATCTGTTTTTTATTACAGATTAAAGGTCAAAGATTTTCGAGAGTGAGGATTCGAAGGGTATCATTAGTTTGAAAAATTTCTGAGTCAGGTTTTTTTTATTGAAAGAGTGATGTGTAGTTATTGATTCTCGCATATTTTAGTAAATAATATTTCTAATATTGATTCACATCGAGAATAATTATTATGTCGATGACATTTTTTGTGTATCATTTGTTAAATTAAAATAAATATTCAGTTGAAATATTCAAAAAAAAAACTAAAAAGTCATATAGGCAATACTCAAAAGACTAAAATATTAATGAAAAGCAATTCTTGTTATTTGATATTTAATAGAAAACAAAAATAGAATTTTAAATAAATTCTATATTATGTTAAAGAATTCATCTAATATGATATAAAAACATCTATTAAAGTTCTATTTTAGTCTAAGTATTATTTCACCTGGAGTTGAATAAAAACTCACGTGTTAAACAAAATTCAAGTGACATTTGAGAATATTTAAGAAGATTATATTGTTATTAGTTATATTCAAATAGATTCTTCTTCATTTTCCAACAGAAGTATAAAGAGAAAAAAGTTTTCCTTAATAAACATGTTTATCCATTCTAAACTTGAGTCTTGTCTATTATTAGAGTATAATATAAAACATATCTCAAAATAAATATTTTTTTTGAAAATCTCGAAGATATTTACATAAGAAATGTTTTACTATATATTCTTTCGATTATATAATTAATTCTAGATTATGAATTAATCCAAATGGTACATATTGTATTTAAACAAAATCTACAGAAAAAAATAACTTAGATTATTTTCAGTATTACATAAATAAAAGAAAACATATGGTATTTATTTTAAAAGAAGATATGGGCATGATCAGCTAACGGTCCCCTTCCCTGGTGAAGGTTTAAAATGAATAATATACAGAAATGTTTTTTTAACAGAGAGTATGATCTTGAAATATTATTAAGTTTGTTCACAGGCGCACTCATACTCTCAAACAGATTTTTTTTACTAATTACAATATTTTATTATACTTTTTACGTTGATTCTAATAATAATTTTGCAAAAGAAAGAAAGACATGACTTTTCTCCTTAGTATAAAACAAGTTTGAATATTTACTTGATTCGTTTATCTTTTATGATTTTAACACATTTCACAAAGTCAGGAAATACAAAAAAAACTATAAAAACAATAATATTTATAATATAATGTTTGAGAAAAAAATTCCATTAGCAGCACACTAAAGATATTTGTTGTCATTATTTAAAACATATGTTGAAAATATTTCATTAGAATTTGCTCAAATATATTCTCTTTCTTGCAGGGAAGAGTCTTGCAAACATAAATTGTTTTTTTAGAACCATTTTATAGACAAAGAGCAGTCTTTTAAAAGAAAGTCTTTAGCTCTATTATAAATACTATTTCTACGAGAAAGAGCTGAGCAAGTCTTCGTGCGCGCATTACTTGTATAAATATATTTATCATGCATTTATTTTTACAAAATAAATACAAAAGGAAAATCATATATTTATCGTCTATATTCTTCGTTGAGAAACGCATCTGTACTATATTTTTATATAAGTGATTTTTCTTTCTCCGACTCATATAATGAAATAAAAAAAAATAATTAACAGTTTTACTGATTCACTTATGTAAAAAGAGGATTAGAAAAATCAGTTATAATGGTACTATTATAATCTTCTTTTTTTTACATGGACAGATAATAATGAAAATTATACAATTATTCAATATTTTGGCATTGTTTATGCTAGTTGATACTCGTTATTCATTATATTATTCTAATAATCGACAAGAATCAAATCGTGTATTCGATTGTTTATATGCATATTTAAAAGATAAGTTAATAGATACAGATGCTCCTTATACTATTAATTATCAATTAATTCCTTATTGTCGACGACTTGATCAAAATGAAGAACAAGATAAACTATCGAATGGATTGCATGAAAACATTGAAAATCTTATTACTTTTGCTGAATTATATCGTCAAGGTGTAACAAGTAAACAATTACTTGATTGGTATGTACCAATAGATATTGCAGAACAATATGAAATAGATGGAAAATATTCCAATGAACTATTCTATAATTGTTCATCATCATGGTTTGGTTCTATGTGTGAATATACATTTGATATTAATATAACATTTTCATTTAATTATATTATTGAAACTATTTTTGATAATCGTAAATTAACAACGGAAGACAAATTCTCGACGATTATTGGTACATGTTATCGATTTTTAACTGGTTGTAATCGTGGTCTATCATCATTATGTTTGAATTGGCGTGAAATCTGTGATGGTAATTATGATTGTATAAATGGAGAAGATGAAGAATTTTGTTATTTATTAGAAATAAATGAATGTTCTCATAATGAATATCGATGTCATTATGAGGGACAGTGTATTCCGTTAACGTTTATGCGTGATGGAATGTATAGTACTGATTGTCTTGATGGTACTGATGAAAAAGATTTTCAATATGCCATCGAGGGTGTTCAAAATCCTTGTGTCACAACTCCAATATTTCGATGTGAAGAACGTACAATTCGATATCCATGGCGTTTTTCATGCGGTGATGGTGAGTTTCTGGTGCTAGATATACCTCAATTTTCGCAAAGATGTCATAATCTTCGAGATATATCGATTCTTTCAATTTGTTTATTTAACTAATCGATCAATAAATGAATTTAAAACAAATCTTCTACCTGATTTTATTTGTTTCAATTCAAGTCGATGTCCTGCATTGATTTATTTTTCTTTCGATATTGGAATACAAAATGGACTTCATTGTTGTAAAACTATTAATCTAATAAATGAAACAATTGACGATTGGTATTTTATCGATGTTATATTTCGTAATCTTATTCAACGTTGTTCAACAATTGGTACAACTAAAACTTGTTCATCTCCATCTTTCTTTCATTGTTCACAATCTTTAAAATGTATTTCAAAACATCGATTATCTGATAGTTCTAATGATTGTTATTATGGTGAAGATGAATCATTTTCTGCTTGTCAATTAAATGATTCAAAACGATTTATTTGTCCATCAGAACCAAACAAATGTTTATCCATAGTTGCACTTGAAAATAGAATAAATGAATGTTTAGACGGAGAAGATGAATTAACTTCTGATGAACGTAATGCTTTTCAAGGACTTATACCATTTGGAGTTATTTGTAATGGTATTTATGATTTCTTATCGATGAAGAATTTAAGTGAAATTGATGAAACATATTTTGATTGGTGGCCATGTAATAATCCATATGTTCGGTGTGATAATATCTGGCATTGTCTCAATGGTGATGATGAACTTAAGAGAGCGTCCATGAGACTATCGAGGATCATGCTAGATATCGAAGCACTCGTCAAAATTTAGTTTTTT